TTTCGTGAAGCTTCTAGTGCCGTATGTGCTGGGCCTTGTTTGCTTCAAGGCCCTTATCGGCCTGCCGCTCGAGACGACATTCCGCCTGAGGTCCCTGAGGTTGCAGTACCTTCGCATGACCTGGACGACGTTGTCTCACCAGTCCTTCTTCAGGCAGGTCCTCTCCGGAACAGACACCGACTGCTACCTCTTCTCCGTGGTGCCAGCAAACACCTGGGTCGCCTTCGCAGGTGTGGCGTTGGTGCTATCGAGCGCCTACCCACTGACTCGACCGGAGCTCTGGGCATGAGGCATGGGCTGTGTCTATCGATTTGCTTCATGGGAATGCGTGCATTCCGGAGGCCAATGTTTCTGTAAATCGCAGCCTTGCCCTGCACCTTCAGGGGAATGCTTGTCTCATCGGTGGTGGATCCCGCCCCCGACAAATCCGCTTTTTGTTGAATTGTTGAATACTGTCTCGCTAGCCGCTTTTCCAAAAATCATCTCGTCGGAGATGTTTGCAGGCGGTGGAAACTCCCTTGCTGTTCAGAAATCTTCCCACCGTAGGTGAATCTGATTCTGAACGCTGGAGTAAAACGCACCAAGAGCTTCTGCCTCCGGTATCGCGAGTCATGGGTTTCTACGAACTCCAACCAAAGCTTCCCCACCCGAAGCTGTCAAGTTCCAACGCCCCGTCACGTCGCGCTCCTGCACTTCTCTCCCGAAAGTCCACATCCAGGTCCAGTCTTCACCGCAATCGGGGCCCAAAAAGGGCACACGGCAGCCTTGGCCGTGGCAGTGGCAGGTTGCCTTACACTGGGCAGGCCGGAAAAGCCTTGAATCATTCTGTCTTCAGTCTTTGTGGGTCTTTGGGTCTTTGCTTGAGCCATTGTCACTTCCGGGGCCAGCATGCGGGGCTGCAGCTTGGCCTTCTCAGTCGTGCCGGCGTTGGGCTATGCTTGCTGATGGTTCGGTGGAATACCAAGTTCTGCAGTGCCTAGCACCTTGGGCAGCAGGGCTCACATTTAGTCAATGACTTTTCACAGTTTGGGATCAAGGTGGACAGCTCATCGACTCATCAGCCGTTTAGGTTTCTGCAAGGGGGTCACCCGCCCAGATCGCACAAGGACAAGCTTCAAACGAAAGGAATGCTGCAAGCCAAAGAGGCAGCTTTCTCGTGGGGTCCGAGTGCAGCGGCGTGCAGAGGCGGAAGACTGCAGAGATTCGGAGGGCTTTGATTGGCGCCTTTGGATTCGGCCCGGCTGCAAGTGAAGAAGGCTGACGGTTCGCTGGAGTCTTGATACTGATTTCGCGGGCGGCGGGGGAGGGGATGAAGAAAGTGGGGAAACAGGGAATTTCTGTGGGAAACTCTCGGCCGGGGCCGAGGCGAGTTTTGCATTGTTTGGTTCTGCAAGTCTACAACGGTTTATGTACGACTGATGGATTCCAATGCAAGTTTTGACCCAGAAGCCGGCTGAATAGAGCTCTGTAGTTGGAGATCCCCAATGCAGGCAGCCATTGTTTGTGTGGACAACTCTGAACCAAGATCCTTTGTAGACGTAGGTACATATATGTGGTCGCCCCCCCCGTTGACAGACCATGACCTTTCAAGTGAGTCGTAGTGCGTGGTCTGTCATCGGATGGGTGACAATCAGCCCTCCCAAAATCAATTCAACAAACTGCAAGATTCTCGCACCTACCTTTTCGGATTTCCAAAATTTCCAAAAAAGGCCAGAATTTCCAAAGATTCCAAACCTTGCAAAATTTCCAAAAATTCCAAACCTTCCAACAATTCCAAATTTCCAAAAAGTTCGCCCTTATGTTTTGGAAACATCCTATCCACTGGGTCTGGGGGGTTTGGAAAATGTTTGATTTTTTTTTTGGTAAATTTCGGAAATTTTGGATTTGTGGACTTTTTTTTGGAAAACTTGATTTTTTTTAACATTTTGGATTTTTTTTAAAGAAATTTTGGAATTGATTCTCTGGAGGACTGCTTGTGACCCATCCGATGACAGACCATGCACCACGACTCACTTGCAAAGGCAATGTCTGTCTACGTTACAGATTATGGTCGGGTGTAGTGTGTTTAGATACAATATCATCTCAGCCGAGTCACCTGCCAAGAGTACACTGCCACAAGGCCATGGTCTGTCAACCAGGGGGGGGGGGGGGGGGGTGGAGAATATGCATCTATATATATATATACATATATATATATATATATATATATCTATGTAAATGTACATATGTATATATGCATGCATGCATGCATGCATGTATGTATTTGTTTATGTATGTATATGTATACAAATATGTATATATAGATATATGTATGTATCTATGTATGTACGTACTTATGTATGCATGTATATATGTATATATGTATATATGTATGTATGTATATATGTATGGATATATGTATGGATATATGTATATATGTATATACGTATATATGTATATATGTATATATGTATATATGTATATATGTATATATGTATATATGTATCTATGTATATATGTATACATGTATATATATGTATATGTGTGCATATATATATATATATGTATATGTATATATGTATGTATGTATGTATGTATGTATGTATGTATGTATGTATGTATGTATGTATGTATATGTGTATATATGAAAAAGTGTATATGCATATAAGAATGTGCCTGTATGTTTATGTATGTATATGATTTTATGTGGATATATGTATGTAAATGCATATATGTATGTACATGCATATATGTATGTATGGATGGATGCACGGCTGTACGGCTGTATGGATGTACGGATGCATGTATGCATGCATGCATGGATGGACGGATGGATGGATGTATGTATGTATGTATGGATGTATGTATGGATGTATGTATAGGTGTACATGTACATGTTCATATGTGTATATGTATATATACATATATATATATATATATAGGACATGTTTGTATATGCATGTGCGCATGCGCAATACATAGACAGGGCAGGTTTGTGCTTGACCAAGTTCTGCGCTCGAAATGCTGCACAGTGAGTATTCAACAAGAAGGTGCGATATTGCATTGTGCAGTTTAGCTTCTGCGCTGCCCCACCTAGAACTCCAAATGTTGCGTCAAATGTTGCTCAGCTGTATACTTGCCCGAATCCCACAAAAGACTAGCTGCCTTCTGCCACCATTGGCTGGCACCTCGTAGCTCGTCCCCATCTGGTGGTCCTCGATGGCCCCACGGTAAATTGTCACGCATATTCCGCTGTGCTACGTGCTACAGCTTGCTTCACCCGCAGACCCTGCAATTGTCAGGAGGCGGAGCCGCACCTGGAGCCCTCTGAGTGCCTTGCACGGCAGTTTTTCTGCTTCGTTTGGAGACACATGGGGTTTGGGGGTTTGACTCTAGATCTCGGGTTTGCGGTTACTCTTTAACTCCCGCCACCGCTCGAAGCGCCCTCCTCCCATCTGTGGCTTTTTCGTGAGCTTAAGCACCGGTTCAGGAAGTCTATTGAGACAATGATGAAGTTCTCCAATCAGTATGCCAAGGCTGGAGCGGCTGAAGAGTTTAGGCACCCGTTGACAGATCAACCGCCGTCACTGCAGCAGTCATTCGTACGTCTCATGGCCTGTTTTTTGGGGCTTGATCTTCGAAGCGAGCGGCCTACTTGTTGCACCGAAATGACTGTGTCCGGGTTCAGCTTGACAGGTTCGAGCCTTGGCCGCCTTGGCCTTCTTTCCTCATAGCTTCTGAAACTGCGTGTAGGTTGTTGCTGGTCACCTCTGTACGGCTACCAAATGATTCCACAGTTGTGTGCTCCCCTTACAGGTCACGGGCACGAAGTACTGTGAGGATAAGAGTGTTCCGGCCGTGGTCATTGTCGGCCTGGCCTTGCACAAGGAGCTGCATTCGAGCTTTGTACTCACAACTGGGATGACTGGCTTGCCCGAAGCCCGAGAGAACCTTCGTGCAGGTTTGAGAAAGATGCTGAGAGGTATTTTGCGATATCTTGTGTTGCTCCAATATTCTGGCGTGAGTAGGTGCCGGCAGATTAGCCTGTACCATGGGCGGAAATCGCAAGTGCCGGTTGCTGGTCTGAAACGTTTGCCAAGACTCGACTTAGGATTGTAGCTCACGAAGATTCGTTCGTGTGAGGAGGAGATGCAAGACATGACAACAGACCGACTGAGAACGGAATTGGGACTCTAGTGTTGAACTCTGGCGAAACCTGACCCTTGGCAGAAAACTTTTAGGAGACCTTGGGCGCTCCACTCTGCCCTTGCCGGCACTATGAGGACAAGGAGAAAGAGGCCAGGCCAGCTTAGCAGCTTAGGTGTTCACGGGTAAATTGTGTGTGTGTGTGTGACCTGATGCCATTGCACTCCCGCTTCAGGGAACAGGGGCTTGCTTCCATGGTGGCAGCTAAACCCAGAGGCTGCCGTAGAGTCTTTTGCCCAACGTCCAGAAACAGGCAAAAGTACTTATTCTGCTCGCTGTGGCTTGTTTTCCCTCGTCTTCCTGTTCCATGCAGTTGTTGATTGCAACTTGCGACCCCCAAGGGCTACCGCGAGAATCCGATAGACGGCTGCATGCATCGCCAGCTTTGAAGACAACGAAGTTTTTGTTGGCCGGTTGGCACATGCAGACTGCAATGCAGATCATACCAGCGGACAAGCAGCTTTGTCTCCAGGTAAAGGATGGGTACTGGAACTGTCCATGCGTGGGTGGCTGAGTTGTGGAGCAGTGCTCGCCGGACATGGATTTGGGTTCGGTGCGTTGCTTGGGGTTCCGCTAGCTTGTCTTTGGCCAAATCCAACATATTCAGGGTTGTGTGCCAAGCTCTGGGGGCTTTGTATTGCATGTTGAGTAATCGCACCAAGTTTGCAATCTAATCTAAGGGTCAATGTCATTGCGCCCAGGTTCCAATGCGCGAAAGGCACGAGTGTCACTGCATGCTCTTCCTGAAGGATGACAATCCGTTCGCGCAAGGGACCAAGACACGGGTCCTGATTTGCTGAAGAGCGACGGGCTGCTGTATCGTGTTCGGGCTTCGGCTAAGATACACAGATATAAGCAGCTCCGTTCCAGCTTGCCCAGTCAGTCTTCGCCGGCGAGTCTACGGTCAGGTCTGAGTGCTCCAATATCGATCTGGAGGAGATCATGAAGCTGAAGGATGGTTAGAGCGCTGGTGAAAGGTTTCCCTGCTTCTGGAGGAGTTTCATAGCAGTTACAGTAGGGTACGGTGTAAAGGCCTCCATCTCTGAGACAGGATTCCGTAGTTGCGATGCTACTCCGGAAGCCACCCGAAGCCATGTCGTGATCGTTTGGTCGACTACAAGTTTCTGCTGCAATTTTCAAAGGGAGGGCCATGATTCGGCTCGTTGTGACAGCTGGTTCCACCTGTTCCGTCCTGGGAATCACGTGTTCGGGATGTTGGCAGGGCCGCGGCCTTTGAATTTTCTGCTGAATGTCCACTCCCGGCAGACCAACGGCAGAAGTCTGTGAATAGCACAGCGACTCGTGAGTGGTCGTGAGGAGCAAGCCTTGGCTTCAAGCGAACTGATCTTAAAGCTTTACTGACTATGAGCCAGCTCATTAAGGGTCCCAGTCTACCTGGCCAACCCGAAGTCAGAAGCCACGCGTGACTGTGGGTAAGTAAGCGCAGTTTGCCTCGCGCTCGCTCGACTCCACACCGAGTTTGAGACTTTGAGATGAAAACGTGCCCTACAGGGCTGGCAATACCCGTATCTTGCCACTCGACTCTCGGGAGCAGCAGCTTCAAGTGCCAACCGCTTATCCCAGCTCCAAACTGATGTCTAGACGTCTGGCCCCGTCAATTGTCATTGCGAGCTTGCCAGCGGCTGCCCAGCTAAACGGCGGCGCAGTTCCGAGGAAGTTCAATGCCTGGTGTAAGCTGCTACATACCCCAAGCAACGCAACACCTCGTCCAGTGACTCGCTTCCATTACACCTAGCTTTAAGCACGAAGTAGACGCTGCCTTCGAGCCAGCTGTCCCTGGGAGTAGGGGGCCACCGCCGGCGGAGCAAAAAGCATGGTGCTTCGGCATTCGAAAGCAAGATCATGGTCCTTTCCTTGAGGCTAAGCCCTGATCCCAAGAGACTTGCCCGAGGCCTGTCATGTCCCTGCAAAGCATGCCAGGAGAACCTTCGGCCTGGGCCCTCCCCCTGCTCTCTAAGTGTCAACTGCCGACAAACGGTGTCGAAGTAATGTGCATCTGTCAAGAACTTAGTCCTTACCTCGCATTGTTCGGGTTTGCTGTCCAGGTTTCTGTTGTTGCAGGACACAGCTCAGCGACGGACACGTGGAACCCACTGCAGGAAGAAAGCCTACTCTCCTCGTTCGTGCACAAGAGAAAGAGGGAGCTCGTGAATGGTTGCCGGTGTTTCTGTCCTGTCGATACAGGCCCAGATTGACGACAAAGATTGCCTCGTCATTGGTGCGGCTGGCGAGACTTGGGAACTGCTGGAGAGACGCGTTCTGCAAGTCATGTGAAGGTTCGAGCTGAAGGTGTAGGCACGCTGCGAGATTTTGAGACATTTGCTCGAGAAACACAAGTCCCACGCAAAGGCACGGCGAGTATATGAGCATGTGCCCGAATCGGGAAAGCACCGAAGCAAACGAAGCCTCACCCAAGAAGCGGGGAGGTTCTCAGTCCTTTCAACGAATGTCAACGTAATGTGTAGCGAGCCTTGCTGGGACGAGACTTGACCTTGGTTGATGCTGTGGAAGAATCACGCTAGAACTAAGGCAGATCATAGGCGGTGACCCACCGTCTCATTCACTCACGACACGCAACCTCGATGCCAGGCCTGGAGATTCTGGAGGTGCGTGGGCGGGTGTGATGGGTCCAGGCAACTACTAGCTAGAAACGACAGCTTCCAGGTTCGCACTGCCTATTTCACCATTGGGCGGAGAGATAGGAATGCCAGCTCAAGATCGAGCCTCCCAGATCCACCGCAGGTGACCTGGACGCAGGACTTGGGTCAAGGGCTGAGGCCGGAAGAATAGGGACGGTCAAACGGGATTCTGGAACCTTGTGTCCAAGCTATAGTCACACCCTTGTCTCTTCCATTTTGAGTTGGGATTGTCCATCTTCGCGCCTTGAAGCCTTGAACTACAGGAAGTTCAGTCCTTTACCGTCAAGGCTCCGTGTCAACCTTGAGCTGCTCAGCGTATCTGTGCAGGCTCGTCAACAGAGGGCCCGTGGACGCTGTGAAGCGCGAGGCCGCTTGCAGAATGCTCCGACGTCTGAAATGCAAAGAGCGAAGTTTTGGAATCTATGGCCGAAGATGGCTAAGATGTTAGAGGAAATCTCTCGGTGACTTACTGCGGCCTGGTAGACAGCTGTGCGGTCTCGTGTTTGGGGTTATGATATGCAGCTGTATGAACAGCGGGCGCCATGCAGCCGGATTCAAGCCAGCCAAGCGCCAGTAAGGAAATTCAGGCGCTTTTCTTTTCTCCCGCCAGAACAGTAGCCCTGCATAAGCTTCTCCTACATGGGTTAATCGGAAGTAGCTTCCAGAGGCAGAAGCCTCCCACAACCCATTTGTTCTGGAGCACTCTCGTATCATAGGGTGATTACCTTCTTTGCTTACAGTGCCGCAAGTTGATCGTTTTGGGTCAGCGGCTGCATGACATCAGCAGCTACCATGTTGCAATACTGGCGGTGTGACCCCTTTTTGGCAAACTCCTCCTGCGGGCATGCATGAAGCTCCAGCACAGAAGCCTTTTTGATCAGGCTGTAGTGCTCCACCACCGCGATAGAGAATCAGCTCCCTGGCAAGCCATGTTGGAGTGGGTGACGACCCTGAATATCCCTACAGCAGCTCGCAATCAGGCCCGATCCAGTGTTTCGAAAAGCAGAAACGGGTTTTGATGCTCCCGTGCGGTCTCAGCCTTGCTAACTGAGGTTGAGTGGAAGATTTCAAACATCCGACGGCGCATCCAGGAGGCAGTGGTACGTGGCCTACTACCATTCAGCTGGCTTCTTATAGCAACGGCAGCAAGGGTATAGAGCTGTGGAGAAAGACCAGCTTCGGAGTCTCAGTCGTGATCACAGACCGAAACATCCTACATTGCTGGATACTGGTTGGGGGGCTCGGTTATCGAACAGAACCTGAAACCCAATGCAAGTTCCACAGCCCACCAACTCCAAAGCCGCCTCCAGTTGCCTATGGGCGCCTGCATGTGCAGCCCTCTCTTCTCCGCCGCCGGTGTGCGGGACATGCACCTGGAGCATACCTGTCATCAATTGGGGTTTGGGGCTTTACGTTGTACCCTTGCATGCCGACTTGGTCTGGATCACTTCAGCTGGCCTCGAAACCACGAATAAGCATTGGGGTCTTGGCGATGTGGCCCCTCGTGAGCTGCTTCAGGATTACCCAGAATTGACTCACCTCAAAACTATTGCAGTGTTCCTTGCGGTTTTGAGACGAAGCTAGTTTTCTGCGTCAGCGTTCTGATCCCCCCTTTCCCCTGCGTGGTATCCCTCTCCACGTGCCGGCCTTGGCAGGCACGCCGTGCTAGCCTTGATGCACCCTGCCCTTCCCACGTAAATATTTGACCTCGCAAGCAGACGATTTAAGCTAGCCGTGCCTGCAATCCACCGAAACTCCCAGCCAGCGCCAAAAGCAGATCAATCCACCGCATGCGCAAAAGCGAGCGACGCAACCGAGATGCAAATAGGACGGTACGGCAATGTGTGCTGCGCCGGATGCACACGTAGATCTAGCTCGGCGGACAACTTTGGTTTTGAAACCTCAGTGTTGCAGATACGTCCGAGCTGAAGGTCAGACTCACATTGGGGCTACAGCTAGCCACCGCGTCAGCACGTGTCAGGTTCTATCCGAACGGCCTGGAGGGGAGCAAAGAAGGGTATTGTGGCTTCTATGTGAGGCGGGATCGGACCCTATACGAGTTGTAATCCAACTGCCGACATCACATCATCAATCGGTTTCCGAAGCAGGAGCCAGGGTTCTTAATCCCGGCACACATGCTTCTGAGGGCTCTGAAGCCCCAGGCGCAGAAGTAGGGTTTGTGAAGACCTCTGCCTGGATGCAAGGCTTGCAGGCTGATCTTTGGGACGTTAAAGTTGTGTGCATCGAGCTGAAAGCTGTTCTGCAAAGTGCTCGAAGCGCTGGATGTTGGCATATGACAACCTGTAGACAGGTGTCCTACTGGCGAGTATACGCTGAACATCACCCTCTTCGTTGGCACCGCCAGACGGGTCCCGACCTTAGTCATTGAGATTTGCTTCTGACTACTGCCTTTGCTAATGTGCTATGTGCAGGCAATGCAGGCGCTCACAGGGCGGTTAAGAATTTCTGAAACCCCAGCCTTCAAGCAGCAAGCCGTTGGTCCGGAAGTCCCCAGCAACACCAAACACATAAGCCGCCGGCGTCACCAAGGCGCTTTTGGATGTTCCGTGTTGCGGTTTCTACGTGCTACTGCTGTTCGGGCAATCGCCTTTATGATGATAGGTTCATAGCTGTGATCTTTGCTGCACCACCAAATATGCTGCAAGTATCGTGTTGATGGATCTCTTCAAGAGCCCTGGAGGAGGGAAGGAGGGAGGGAGCTCCTGTTCACTCAGGGGCCGAGCAAGACGGAATTCAACGGCAATGCTGCCAAAGGTTTGCCAGGGCCTTGGAGAGCCCCTCGGAGAGCCCTCCGAAAAGAAGCACCTGAAGTCCCAAATCGACGGGCGAATGCACTGTACATGCCTTGTTCCGTCTATGCAGACTTGGCGAAAAATCTGTATTGCGAGCCACAACCTACTACTAGTCTGCTTTCTTCCGAACTCTGCGCTCGGACCTCCGAGTCTAGACTCTATAGACCATCCGGAAGCCTTGCAAGGGTTCTGGCTTTGTGGGGTTGGGGATAAAACCTTTCGACCCGGACTCCCGCACTCCGCGCTCCTCTGATTTCCGGGTCTTGGATTTGAGCGATTTTGCGCAATGTGCTGAACAAGCAGCAGTCTGATTCCTGTCCGAACCCAACCCGTTCCAGTACGTTTTGCCTTCATGAAGCCTGCAAGATCTGTCAGCGACCAAGGCTCAGAGCACCGGGCGAACCATCCTATCACTTTCGAAAGCCTTCATGTTTGACATCGGCTTAATTACTTCATCATCGACTGGTGCAATTCACCCTGGGTCTCACATGCAGGGCCTGGCCGTCGTGCCAGCTACTGTAGCACTAGAGTTAGAGCATAATAAACCTTTTTGACTTGGAGTCGGTTGCAGCTGGCAAGGCTGGCAGGAGTCAGAGTGTCGATGTGCCTTCCATAAGAAACCAACGGCCGTGAAGGTTCGGCCAAGTTCGGCGCACTTCTTCACTGTACATCCATGGACACCGTCATATAAAGCATCCTTCGCAGGACCGCAGCATCCGAAAACTTGAGCTGAGCCCGATCCTTCCCAGGCCCGAGTTCTGCCGGCTCGACGAGCAGCTTGTGGACGGGGAGGCCGGCGGCTGGCGGCTGCAGATTTTGAAGAGCCGGTTCAGAACTTGTCTTCGTTCCAACAGTACCTGAGCCGTTCAAATGCAGATGCACTCCTTAGTTGGCTTCGCGACATGAGATGCTTTATGCCCACCGCCAGGAAGATCTCATTGCTGGCATTGTCCTCCAGAACCCATTGCAGGACTGTGCCAGAGCCACGCGAACCCCGAAACTGCGAACCGAAGCGGTTTCCTGACACACCGCAAGGGCATGTCTCTCTCATGGCCAGCTGAGCTTAAGAATCACAACTTCGAGCTCTAATCCTTGTTGCAGGAGCAGGAAGAAGACGAGCGAACTTTGTACCTGTGATCTGGTGGGTTGGGGAAAAGAAGCTGTGTGTGCTGCATCTGCAGTCAGGCAAGTCGGTAGATAAAATGATAGCAGGCACCAGCAGGTCAGTCCGGGCAAGCGTGCATCTGCAAATCTTCATGGCACCAATTGAACTCAGAAGAGATGGTGCAGTACTCCAAACCCGATCGTCTCAAGCATGTTCAAGAAGTTTCATGTTGCTGGCGATAATCCTCTGTGTTTCCTTGTCTTCACACGAGCTGCCATGTTCGAACGGTTACGTGAGTCCAAAGACCTGAGCCAATGTGCAAATCTATGCGTTTGCAGTAATCGTGGTAGGAGCTTCCCATGGGTAGGAAAATCCATACATTGATTCGGACTCATCATCAGGGTGTTATTGTTTCGCACTGGTTGGGTCTCGATGCGGCAGCACGCCAGACCTGCAGCTTGACAGCAGGTGTTCTGCATCCCTACAAACAGTGAGGCTACAACCTGGCATCTTGAAGTCGCCGAGAGACCTAAAGGCCCACCGATGTATTTGGCCCCACTGAGCCTCCAAAACCTTCAACCATGGTGGGTTCGTGATCCACGACACCAAGCTCCCTCATGCTGCGCTTTTGGCATCTCCTCTGGCTGCCACTAGCGAACAGCCAAGGCCCGAGCTCTCGTTGATTTTGGGAGTCGTGGAAAACTTCATGGGCGGATGCGCCAAATTTCTGGAACCTCGGTTTTTCAACCTTCTGTGCAAGCGGAGGCGTCATGCTAGCCCACCAGAGTTGTCGAAGCGTCCTCGCCATCGATCAGAAGTGCTATGCGTTAGCTGCAATTGTGGAGGTGCTCTGCAATGGCTCAATTGTCATGGGCCGCCCTTCAAGCCTGCTTGGGCATCACTGCAGGCCCGAAAGGGTGTAGGCAGCTTTCGGGCTGGAGTTTGGCAGCCGTGCAGGAACTTGAGTGCAGCTTTCGGCCGGCGTTTCTGGGGTGTTTGAGATCGATCCTTCGGTCTTGCGAGATGCAAGTTTACCCCCTTTACTGCTGCCCCTATTTGTGTTACCACTGCTGGTCAAGGCGACACTCCTGGAGCTGCTGCAGCGCCAGCCAGATCTGCTGATGACAGTGACTCAGGGACTGCGTTTGAAGCTTGTCTCGAGCACCTGTGGCAGAGCACCTGATACGATCGGATACGGCTTGAGACTTGAAGCATCTTGAAGCATTGAAAGCACCCAGTTGTGGTCGCCTGGCCGTATAAGGATCGGACGGCCACTGCCGCCTGCAGTCGTAATGCTGGTGGAGGTCGGGCTTCCTGTGAATGCCGTTCATGAGTCCATGAGCAGAGCAGGTCTGTGTTGCTGAATATGGTATGTGCTCCAGAACGATCAAAGCTGTTCCATGCCCTCCACGCCGACGTACTTCTGTATTGGAGCACTTGATTGCCCGTGGAATATGCATACTAATACCTACGTTCCTGTAGCATGATAGTCCTGAGGCAGAAACTCTCAGCCGGTGATGCAACAAAGCCCCGGCAGGAGCTGGAACCAATGTGCCAGGCACGCAAGGACAGCCCCTTGTTAAGATCGAAGCTGTGTGGTTGTGTCCCAAAGTCCTAAAGCCAACTATTCTACAATAAGTAGACCGATTCCAAAAACATGTGCTAGTTTGAGGCTCATTGGATGGATGAACAAATCATTTTATGCCTGCCCGCATGACTGTACTGAAACTTACACGTAGTACGATTTCACGACATTCATGCACTTCGTCACGCTAGATGGGAGAAGACAGCCTCCCGGCAAGCATCGGTTCAGAGGAACCCCACGTCAACCACAAGCAGCCGCCGTTTGTTCATGAACCCTCAGCCTGCACAAGCGTTGCAGAGCGTAACACCCTAAGCGAACCTGCACATCTTACTCAATGCTCCCTGATTCCCTACCCCGTAACCTGCGAAACCCACAACCTGGACTTGAACTATCGGGCCCAATCCGGACAAACTATTACGTAACCCCTCTGCACCCCGGAAGCCCCCCCAAACCCCATTATTTCGTTCACTGTTTACCAAACAGCTACAGTACCCCAGATGGAACGATGACGAGGACGTGGCAGCGCTACTGGCTTGGACAGGTGGGACCTTGTCAAGGGCTTTGGGGGTTGGATTTGAGATGCGTGGGGCTAGCTTTTGGGTGGTTTCTGGACAAACCGGTGTTCCGGAAGTTTGGGCATGGAGGAACAGTCTTGCAGCGAGTCGACACGATTCCTGCCTGGACCTTTACAAAGCTGAGATATCCCAGGGCCGAAGCGCATACCCCAATCACGTCGCTCATAAGGCGAGAAGCCCGAGACAGACTACGAGGCACGGCTTCGCACCTGCTTCGATGTTGGGACTTGCAGAGCTTCAGGCTTACCGCTGATGGATTCTGGCGTTCTCTCAAGCGTTTTCGACGTTGGCTGGTGACTTGCGTTTGTGGATGCAAATGGCCCGTTTGTTTCTACATTTCTTGAACCGTGTGTTCGCAGATTCCTATGTCGGCTCGTCTTACTGAGCTGAAGCCCCCAACCTTTGACAACTCCTCGGTAGGCCATGGGTTCCCTTCGCTGGTGGATCAACGCGTCCTTCGAGGTCGAAGGAGTCGAAGGCCCTGAGACAACCGCACAATGGCACACGATCTATTCACTCAAATTTGCTGGCGATTGCTCTGGAAAGAACAAAACAATTGTCGATGTTTCAGTCAGACAGGCATGGGTCAGGGTCGAGAATAAGTTGCGGGATGAAGTGAAGTTCAGCATCGCGAGGCACGCCGCTCACGGACATTTTGTGAGTTCGGGCAAATTCCAAGGCTAATGCCACTGACTTACTGTACTGTGCCATGCTTGACCTTGGTTTCCAGAGTGGTGATCCAGGGTAGATCATGAACAACTGCCGATTGGCCCATGGGCAATTGGGACGCAGACTCGATGATGCCAGGAAATGGGTTTTGCCTCTACGGCTGCGTCACCGTGCTTTTCCTCCTGGCACCTTTGGATTCATTATTTCTGCTGTACCTTCATAGCATTTCATAGCAGTTTCCTTTGACAAAGCCGTCCAGCGGGAGATCATCGTGCAAATGCGGTGTTAGCGGTAGTTGCATTCGCGACAGCCTCCGGACACGCCACCCTCTAGACTCCATGCTGTGAACTGCGCACCGCCAATGTGTATTCTTGTCCACTAAGAACGGACCCTGCTGCACCTGGCTTGTCAAAAGTTCACGCTTTTTCAGCAAACCCTGGCCGAATCGATCCTGAAGCTAGCCTGCCGACTGCTGCAGGCCTTCAACGAGTTGTCGTGGCTACTCATCTCGCCAGAAGAGCCCTCGGTGGCCACAGCTGAGAAGAGCATGCAGGACCTCCGTGAGTAAGACATGAAGAGCCCTCGATTTGACTCCCAATGCCAGATCAACTTGAGCTTCATTCGGTCTCTACAGTTGCTGCTAACATAGGACCAGAGTTGTATACATCCGGAGCACACCCCTGAACTCTTCAAATTTAGCGGTCGTCATCAGCCCTTGACGCAGTACATCTTCATGTCTCTGCATCTTTCGCGTTCGCTTCTTGGCGACCACTCCACGCTGGATCTCCTCTCGAGCAGCGCGGCATGATCTTGCTTTCTCGCTTTGGGCTTTGGATTGGGGCAGCTTTGTCATCTGGGTCCGGCATGTAGGGTTCATGCTGGGGTAAGGTTGTTGACAAAGAAAGGATACGGTGACACCAAGTGTCCTTCGATGCAGATGTAGATGTCACAGTTCAGGGTTGCGGTCGGAAAGTCCTGGGCAAGAAAAATCCCAGCCGGTTGATACATCGCCTGCAACCATGTGTGCCGTGCCGAGAGTCCGATAGTCTTTCGTCAAGACATGTCAAGACGTTATGTCTGCTTGTGCAATAAACCGTGTATACACCTACCTCTCTGTGTGTGTATGTGCGCGTGTGTGTTTGTCTGCATATGCATTTACTTGTTGTATTTGTCTCCTGTCTCAGGCGCACGCTACAAGCTTCCTTTACATGAGGGGTGAAGTGGCGGCCCTCCAACATCAGATCTTTCCCTATGGACGATGGGCTATTTGCAGGCAGCCTTAAACTGGAGCAGCAGGCGGCTGAAAAGAACCTACTCTTAAGGCATTTTTTCCAGTGTCGGTCGTTGCTGTCGTCAGAGCAGCCCGGCAGTGGATAGCAGAGGCACGGGTCCTCGTCGCCGATACGCACAAGTCTAAGGACAATCGCAACAAGACAGCGGAATAGTTGGCCCTGAGCACAGTGCATCACCAGGTAGTGCGTGGCCACCGCGTCTCCCGAACTGGACAATGGAGGTCTTTGAGAGGGCCGAGGCGCACGCTGATGGCTCCAAAGACCCCTCCATTCGGGCCTTGTCACTTTGTCTTGGGGTTCGGGGCCTTCAGGGTTGGTGGTGTCAGATAATTTTGCCGGTTGCCGTTATCGTTTTCAATGTTGGATCATGGCATTCGCATGTATGCTGTACCGGGGTTTCTGGTTGCTGCCGTGGCAGGGACGGTCGGATTCTCCGTCTTCTAGGGCCGTATCACAGTGTGATCGATGCCATGGTCAACACCGTTTTTTGAGAGCTTGGGGCTTTGAGGCTTCGGCAACTAAGCTTCCAGCTTGAGTCTGGTGTGGCCAGGGCAGGAGTCCATTGCGAGGTGACCAGGTCCAGCTCATAGATCGTGAGGGACAACGTTGCAGGTTCAACTCGGCGTTGAAACTCAACTGTATTTTCCAAAGCCTTCACGACTCTCGCATCCGCTGCAGGGCTTTGTGATTTTAGTTTAGGTGGTGGCATGGCAATATTGGTCTTGGCATACACCGCATCAAGTCTCTGTGTGTGCGTGTGATGGAATTGGACAGGTACTGATTGGAGGCTGGACGGGCTTGTTGGCTGCTATCTAGATATGTCTGTCTGGATGAGCTGGCGCCATAATCGAGCTTCGCAGGAAGAGCCTTGCCCCTCGCCACGGAGTGGAACCAACAGAGTCTCGACATAAGCCTCTGCACATGGAGGTTCGCAGCCAGTTCAAGAGACAGGGCCTCGGAGGAACTTCCAATCTGCCGCTGTTTCGCTGCAAGGTGCAGCCGTAGTGCCGCGCAGTACTCCAAACACTGGTCTTTATCTTCAGTCACGTCGTTTTTCCTGCATGTTCACACTGTGCAGTCTGTGCAACATTGCTCCGCCACAGAGAAGCTAACATCAGCATATTACCACCGCTGATCGTTGAAGCAGAAGGTGTTTCCGAACATTGCACATTTCCTTCACACTGAGACTCAGTACGGTTTGGGATGTCATGATCTTCTTGTTCGTGAAGAACCAGCGGCAGGCGGTAGCATCAGACGTTCGAGGACTCACATGCCACTGTGGAAGTATCCAGAAAATTTAGAAATGACCGGTGCAAGTAGTGAGGTGGCAGTTGATTGCGCGCAAAACCGTCCCTCAGCAATTCGACGTCAGCATCACCCGGTACTGGATGCTGGTGCACAGAGGTCGCCTCACGAAGGCTCTGCGATTTCGCTGGCGCGGCGGTGGCAGCCCTGTGACCCCCTTCGCCAGGCGCGACAGCATACGGACTTTATGGGTCTGCTTGATGGGATCAGACTCGTGAGCGTTCAGGCCGCCAAGCGGGATTCAGCCTACGTGTAGCTAATTGCCTTGATTCGAGGTGTGGAAGCATTCATGTAGCGGCCCCAGGCAGTACGTACATTCCGAGACGAGAAGAGTGCAGAAGCCGGGTGTTAGGAATGGCCTCCGTCAATGCCAGCAGGTCCTCAACTGAGAGCTCCTGTCAACCCGTTTCATGGACCTCGTAGGAATCCTCTGAGCTGGGTCCATTCTGGTCGGCTGCGCAGGTGTGCAGCGCCCCAAGCCCTGCAGGAAGGGGAGGGCAAGAGGGGAGGGATCCCGAACCCGACTTTTCGATCGAAGCGTCTAAGACAGCCGAGTCTACGATATGTAGTCGAAGCAAGGATTGAGGACGAAGATGCAGTGCTTCTGTTGCATTCCTGTATGCTTGCAGTGTGCCTGTATATGTATGATGTGGACTTCTAGCAGATAGGTGCCAGTCGGAAAATGTCCATGAGCATGACAGGGCACAAGTTGATGGACTCCCATCGCGGCCGCAGAGATGAAGCCTTGGTCATGCTGCTGGTCTTGCCGACTCTTGTTTGGAGCTCACCGCTCTGGGACTTTTTACATGCTGAGCTTGCAACATGCCTGCAGGGACTAGGCACTGTGATAAGACACTTCCATCTTGCGGCGCAAGGGCATGCCAGGTCGGGGAGCATGCACCGTTCGAGAACACGGCCGACAACCCAGAAACTGCCCGCGGGCACAAGTGTTTGCAGAGAGACAGGGCTACAGATGCTTCCCACTTCCCTCAACAGTCTGCATCGCATCCCCGTGCCAAACACGCCGTAGTACTGAGGTTTGGCAGTGCATCGAGTCGGCTTCCATTGCCCCGAGCTCAGGAACTGTCTTGTAGAATCTAGGCGCAGTGCAATTGGACGCGAGAGCTCAGCGTAATGCTTCATCTACTCACGGGCGCAACTCTCCCCCTTTCCGTGATTCTAGGTTGAAGCAGCCCGCGCTATCGGGTCCACTGTGTGGCGAGACTCCTCCCTTGACATGTAGGGTTGGTCTGTACTTTGCTTGAGTAGGCTATTTCGAGCCGATGGTTTACTTTTGATGGTTTGTGCATTGATTGATGGCCAGAGCACCTCAGGCCTTGAGTGTTCCCGTTCGGCCCATCTTCGCGGGTGCCTACTACGGCTGCAGAGGACCTTGGTTGAGCCAAGACATTTGCGACTCTAGCGTAGTCAAATCTTCAGCTTTGTTGAACGAGCACGGTCGTCAAAGTTGCTGGTGAGCGATGCTTACTTGCTGCAACCGCTTTGAAATGACCCCGCGGTGTGACTGAGTCCTTCAGCGTTGAGATTTGAATGTATGAAGTGCCGGCACGGCCGGATGTTGCAAGTGTTCAGAAGATTGACACCCTTTGCAAAGAGGTGGCAATTTGCATGTACTTCTCTTTAAGTCTGTTTTGGTCCCTCGCAAGGACTTCCCAGTGCCTGTGCACCGGACTCGACGAAAGACTGGTTTCGGGCGTGGATGCAGAGGTGCTGTACCTTTGGGTGGTGAGGATTGATTCCAATTCGTCGATCGCTGGTATTTAGGAGTAGTAGCGCCTGGCCGCATGCCGTCGAAGCCTGTCACGATGGCTGCGTGACAGAAGACTTCGGAAGTTGTTCTTAGTTTGTACAGTCGAGGAGCCCATACCACTGGAAAGCCTCATGTCCTTCAATGTGTAATACAAGTACAGCTGTGTAGCAGTTTCCGTTCATGCTTCCCAGGAGAATCGACCGTCAATAAAGCACAAAAATCTTCCAGGTGGCCGAAGCAGAGCGAATCTGCATTGGAGGCCCGACTGGCTTGCCGCGATGTTGAGGCAGTGTTGAATCATTCAGCTCAGGCCGACTTCTGGAACACTGTTGCGAGCAAACAGAGGCTTACTTGATTCCGAAAAGATGGAAGCCTAAGTTTCTCTTTTCATCCAAGTCCAATCCGTGCCGCGCCGGTCAGGGCGTGCAGGCCGAGGCAGATGGGCTCTTTGAGGCACGGAAAGCAGGGATCTTTGATTTGACTCCTGCCTGTGCCGATGCTCTGTGCACTCCGGAGCTCGAGTCGCATCGCATTCCTGACCACGCGCAAGCGAAGATCCTGCTTCAAGTGGCCATTCCGATCTGGGGTCAGGGTCCAGGGCGCCATTGCCCCGATGTATCCCTTGAATAACCCGAACTCCGATATCCCAGAGGCCATCAAGCGACATCCGGATCCGCAGGCTCAGCGCCATGCAATGCTCCATGATCTGTTGTAGGCTCGGAAGTGAAGGCTGAAGGTTCAGGGAGCCCTTTCCAGGCAGAGGGACGGACATCACGTGTTCCCGTCGAAGGCTGCCCGTCCGGATATTCTCTTCTGTGGGGACACCGTGCTGCCGCTTGGCGTGGTGCATGACATCGACCCTGTTTGCAGCATTCCTCTCCAACCGACAGATCAGCTCTGCTTAAATGCCAGGTATGCCAGGACAAAGCCCTCAGCCCGGAACCTTGAATCCCAAGTCTCAAGGTTCTGTTGGCTCCTGCGCCGGCGCAGTCTGCTGGCCCGGCGGGCCGGTTTCCACGAGCTCCCTTCGCACGGACCTCATGAATCGGAATCAGGGTTGCGGTGTCCCGTGTTTGGGTCTCAGCAATTGGCGATTGGGCCGGTAGTTGATTCGACTTGCCGGGTTAGGGCGAAGCGTTCTGTTTAACATCGTGGCTGTTGGCATTTCCGAAATCCGGGGACGAAGCTTTGGGACTCGTTCTATCCGTTTGCGGACCTCGGTGCTCGCGACCTTTCGAAGCTTTCATGGCTCGGAGCATGCGCGCGACAACTTTCTCACGGGTATGCCCTGTAAGTTATGAGTGCGTCAAAGCCTACATTCCTGTCCGGTTCATCGTGATGGCAGTACAGTACTTGTCGTGCGCATCCCCATGCAGAAAGAGGGTGAACATCCATGGTCTAGCGCTACAGGAGGAAAGAGTCAGTCCGACAAAGGTATGGTGTGACAGAAGCCGAAGGATCTGCAAGCGAATAGCTAGTTAAAACCTGTATTCCCCCACGCCCGGTACCAGAAAGCCTAGCAGCCCGAAGCCGCAAACCTGACTGTGCAATGTCACCTGTTGGGTCATATCGTTGTACCTCGCGCACATCTCCGCCCACACAACCTTTCGTCTCAACTCCGAGGCTCCATGTCTATGGCATGGTCTTCCTGCAGTATGTTCCGCCGATGTGGAGACTTGAGATGTTGGAGGTCTTGCGAGCTGTCCTGCATACAAAATTTAAAATCTTTTGGAGCCTGAGCCCTCAACTCTGCAGGATTTCGCGAATTGGTGGCTCCTTGAACGCAGCCCCGTCCGGGAGCCGGCCGGTGTCCAGATCGAGGCGTCGTGGTCGCGGTTGGATCTTGGAGTTGACTCTGTTGGCGCTGAGGTCTTTGCTTCAAGAGCTTCGGGCACGTAGCATTAGTTGAGCTTTCAGCTCAACTCCTTAAGTCTTGGTCCAGAATCCATCCTTAGCCGCAAACTTTCGTCTAAAGACCATCACAAGCCTCTGAGGCATTGGGCCTGCAACTCCAGTGGCAGATGGGCATCGCCCTACCTTTTGTGCCTAGCCACTCTCATGCAGCTGAGGGGATCTGTAGACTGGTGTTCAGGTTTTGTTTCATCTCATGTCTTGCAATATTTCACTGATGAGGTCGAGATAAGCACCGTCCGTGCTCGTTCACGTGTGTGTGTGTGTGTGTGTGTGTCGTCAGTCAGGACTGCCTCCAAGTTTGCATAGGGCATGTGTGACGGAGGGGACCGCCTCCGTCAGAAGTTGAGACTCAATGCACCGACACCCAGGCACAGGCACGTCGGATTCCGCCGGAGTTCTCTACCATGCTCCCCGGCCAGGCCTTCTGCGAATCGCTCTGGCGATAGTACTGATGCCTGTCCGGGGCTAACCGGGTCCTTTCCGTTATGGAACCGGGTCCTAGGATTTATGTTGCTGACATGAGTGACATGTAAGAACACGTGTATATAGGACATGTGTTGCTGACATGATGGACATGTAAGAACACGTGTATATAGGACACGTGTTGCTGACATGATGGACATGCAAGAACACGTGTGATGGACATGTAAGAACACGTGTATATAGGACACTTGTTGCTGACATGATGGACATGTCAGAACACGTGTATATAGGACACGTAAAGCAACATGTCTGATGTCGTGCTGAAGGGGGGGGGGCAGGACGGAAAACAAATGCAACTACTGCAGCAACATTGGGCCTACGTCATGTGTGTTCTTGTGGCTCTATGGAAAGAGCGAGATGCTGGACATGTATAAAAAGATGTGTGCTTGTGGCTCAATAGAAAAATCAATGCCTGAAAAACTTGGTTTGTTCGAAATGTGAAAACATGTACATCGAAAAATCAAAGCCATACTGACATAATTGCCTGTCCCAAGTTTTGTAGTTCACATGGAATTTCTTTGTTGCAAGATATTTTTGAAGTTATTTTGAAGATTCGTTTGTGCCGAGCAAACCAAACAAATGCAACTTGGTGTTCTTGTGGCTCAACGAAAACAAGAAGCTTGAGATTTTGTGTTCTGAAACCCTAAAGTCAGCTTTTTGTACGATTCACAACGACTTGAAAATTAGTGTGTGTGTGTTCATGATTAAACATGAAGGGAATCTAAGCTTTCGTAACGTCCAGCTCATGCCCTAAACCCTGGACCCTAAACTGTAATCCCACCCAACCCCCAAACCCGCCCACCCACTCCTGCAGGTAGGTATAGATAAGTAGATAGGCAGGAGGGAGGTACTTGTAGGTCTAGGTGCACCGGCAGGCTTCCAGGTCTCTAGATAGCTAGGTAGGCGGGCATGTAGGTAAGGAGGCATTGATCAGGAAAGAAGTTTAAAGGTAGCAGGCAAAAGTAGTTGTAATTAGGCATTCGCGCAGGCTCTGTCAGGATGTCAGGTCGCCACATCAGAGGTCTTCGGAGCCCCGTGCAGGGGCGTACCCGCACCAAGCCCTTGAAGGGGCTGCGGGATGAACCCCGAATAGGGGTGAGCTTGGACCCCGAACAGGGGTCGTCGGAGCCCCGTACAGGGGTGTGGATGAACCCCGAAAAGGGGTGAGCCTGGACCCCGAACAGGGGTCGTGAGAACCCCGTGCAGGGGTGTGGATGAACCCCGAACAGGGGTGAGCTTGGACCCCGAACAGGGGTCGTTAGAGCCCCGCACAGGGGCGTCCGATGAACCCCGAAAAGGGTGAGCCTGGACCCTGAACAGGGGTCGTGAGAACCCCATGCAGGGGTGTGGATGAACCCCGAACAGGGGTGAGGATGAACCCCGAGCAGGGGTGAGCCGGATCCTCAAAGACAGATGCAGAGAGAAAGAAAGAGAGAGAGAGAGAGAGAGAGAGAGACAGCGAAAATAATTAACGAAGCAAGGAAGGAAGCAAGGAAGGAAGGAAGGAAGCAGGGAAGGAAGCAGGGAAGGAAGAAGGAATGATCAAGATGAGGGTGTGACTGTAGATGCGAGGAATGAGCAGGCAGCAAGGAGTGATGTGAGGGAAGGAAGAGGCAGGAAAGTCATGCATGGATTCAGTATCTCTCTGCTCACTTTCCGTCTGTCGCCGGCCAACCAGGCTGAGACAGTCTGCGCATCGAGATCCTCGAAGAGCCCCGGCCTAAGCCACACCAAGACTTGACTGCTGCACCGTCGGTTGCTTCCAAGCTCAACATGTTGGACTGCAGCAGCTTTTCATCTCAAGATTCAAGGAAATCGCACCGTTTTTTCTTGGCGCCACTAGCGCCATGACTGAGCAAGTGTACACCGACGCGGAATGGGCGGCTTGGCGTCGAAGTCAAAACCCTGCAGGAAGCCACCAAAACCCTGCAGGAAGCCACGACGACACAGAGACGGACCCAACGAAGCAAGGCTTCACAAAGGAACTCCGACCCCTTCCGGATGAATGGAAAGTTGAGTGGAAGAAAGCTGAGAAGAACAAGCAGCACTCAGCCAATGACTTCAGCGGTATCAGGCGCCTCTGCAACAGAAGGTTGCAACAGATGTACAACCAATGGAAGAATGAGGTGGAGCTCACGGAGAAGCAGGATTCGGCTATCAACAAGCTCGCCATCTTGACGCATAACAAGGACCGCATGGAAATCGATCGCTTGAGGGAGGTTGAGAAGGAAGCGATTTGGACGAAGAAAATGTACGAGACGAAGATTGCGGACGACAATAAGAAGCACGAGGCCGAACTGGCAGCTGTAAAGAAGAAAGGCGAGGACATGCTGGACGAACTGGAGAACACGCATGAGAGAAACAACCAGGAAAGGGCTAAGAGGCTGTCCATCACGGAAGATACGTACAGGTACAAGTTCGAGGATAGCCAGAAGGAGATGAAGGTACTGACTGCCATGTATGAGAACAAAATCAAAGAGATGAACGCCGAGCACCAGGCACAGATGGCGAAAGAGAAAGAAGAGAACAAGAAAAAGTTCGACGAGAAGGTTTCCAAAGCCCAGACGGACATGACAAACAAGTTCAAGAGCAGGTTGAAGAGGCTCGAGGATGCACAGGTCAAGTACAAAGAGAAAGTCCTCACTGCAACGGGGCTTTGGAGACAGACACTGGCAAGGAAAGAGGATGAGGTCCTGCGGCTCCGGCTACGACTCCGCTTGCAGGAACCCGCGAGCTCGGCGCAGCAAGACAACGAAGAGAAGCTCAAGGACAGTAAGGCTTGGCCCGACAGTTCATTTGTCAGTTGTTCAGTCAGTGAAATGCGCATCTCTGACAGGAGAGTTTGCATCCCACGTCCCCGACGGTCGTTTTCACCCCGACCTCTCCCGCACGCAGCCCGAGCCTTGGTTTCATCACCGCAACCTTGTGCGACCCCAACTTCGCACGTTCCAGGTAGTGACGAGTCCGACTCTGACTTCGATCGGGAAGGAAAGCGATCCCGCTCGCCCAGATCCGACAGGACGGATTATCGCAGTAAGCAGTGAGACGGAATAACGGATTTCATAACGTAGCTGATGGCTCTGATCGTGACATCCCCATGGATTCGAGTCTTAACCAAAACAATCTGACATCTAGTGATTCTGAATCCGCTTACAGTTTCAAGAACACGACGAACTCCATGGTTGATGCGGCGGCACAGGGGCATGGGCCCGGTGGCCGTGTGAAGTTCCTAGAAAGACTTAGGACTTCTGACTGGATGGGTCATGAAGCCAAGAGCAGCATCGGAAAAAGTCGCATGCATCAGGGACCATTCCTGCATGACAACCCCGCCTCCCCCCCCAAACCACCCACCACGAACCGGTCCCCCAACCAATTCCCGCACCCCTGATTCACACCCACCCACCGTCACCCAGCCACCTAACCGCCCCACCCATCCATCAACCACCCACCGAGAAACCCACCCACCCCCCCCAACCCCCCTGTGCTGGGCGGCCTGTTCGGTGCTTGCACTTAAGTGACAGACACTTCTTAAACACGGTGGGTGGTGATGTCTCTGACACGAAAGGTCAACGTATTCCTCGAGACCTACAAGCAGGACCGACTGCCCCATGGAAGATCCGCAACAGCAAGAGCGACATTGTCGCTCTTGCTGTTGCGGATGTGTGGTGCAGGTCGAAAGCGACACGACCTGCACTAAGGTGCAAGAAGGCCTTGACGGTGGCTACATCATCCCAGAAGGTTCATGGTGCAGGACTGGTAGGTACCCGCTCCTGCACCTTGAACCTACTGGGATGATAAAGGGGACATGCTGACTGGAGGCTGGGAAGTGGCACGTCTTGAGCTCGGCGGTGATGTCTCTAGCACGAAAGGCCTACGTACTCCTCACCTAGAAGCGCGACGGACGAGCACACCAACATGCTCACTGGTCACTGGAGGCTGGGCAGTGCCACTTTTAAGCTCGGTGCTTCAGACGGACATGACAGTTTCAGGAACAGTGCGGCATGTGCAGTCCATGGCTGTGTGATGCTGTGAGTGTGCGCCCGTCTGACAGCAGAACTATCTCAAGCTTCCCAAAGGAGTACACTTTTCATAGCCCTTTGCATCATGGTGGAGCTCACGGAGGTGTTGCTCGCTTTGGCAATTGTAGCCATTGGCTACATGTACAGCATACAGCAGAACCAGCAGAACAAGAGAAGGGCCAAGCAGGAGGAGGACAGCGGCAGCGAAGAAGAGATCAGGCCCAGGAGGAGGAAGGCCAGGGCCAGTCTCATGGAGGAGGACAGCGGCAACGGGAGGTCAGACCGCAATAATGACAAAAAGCATACGGCCACAGCACAACCACAAGATCCAATAGAACCAACACAGCAGGAAAGCAAGCCCAAAGATGAAGCTGGCAAGGATCCGCCAAAGGAAAGCAAGCCCAAAGATGAAGCTGGCAAGGATCCGCCAAAGGAAGCCAAGGATTTGGAGCCCGAGAACTTCCAGGAACGTGCAGAGGCCGCGGTCCAACGCATGGTGGCCGCCGTTCACACTATGCACGGATGTTTGCAGAAGGTTCAGAGCTCCGAGACGGAAATTTCCTCGTTAGGGGACAAGATGAAGAACATCCTCTTGGAGATAGCCGAGCTGAGACAGAAGCAAGAGGAGCACGTGTCGGAGCTTGGCAAGCTACCCGACATGGTCGTCGCTCTGGGGTCAGACCTCAAGAGTCTGACCAGCAGAAAAGAGTCCA